CCTCCTGAGGCCCCTTCTAACTCTGTTTTTCTATGATTCTGTGAGGTTTCCTTATGCGAAGGGGGCGGGGAGGAGGAATATTATCTTATTTGAGTAAATATGATACTATCAGATTAGAATTTTTGTATGGAGCCCGATTTATTCACTGATTCTTGTATGGAAAAGCTGAAGTGCATTTTTAAAATGGAATACACTAAATAAATAGAATACAGCTTAAATCCTGTGTTTGTAGTTGGTATTTAGAAAGAAACTAAAAGTTACTGTGTCAGCTGAATTGATGCATTTAAAATTATTATAATCCACTTTGCTACATAATATCGAGAACAAGGCTTGTGGCCTTGGGGTAGAGAGTGGTTTTAAAAAACTTCGAGTTTTGTTCCTTTCTGTAGTATTACTAAACTCCTTGTCAATTAAGATCCATGCACAGCTAAAATATAAATAATGAATGTATTTGATTACATTGTTGCTGTTGGTTATGCCTATTTAAAGCTGAATGTTTCTTCGTTGCAAAAATAATTTGACATGGCCATAAACTTTTGTGAGTGTTGGTGATGGTGAGAGGTGGTGAGTCTCAACTCCCAACACAGTTCCTGACCTAGAATCCTTAATATATTTCCAAAAGTACATACCAAGTTGTAGTCTTTTGCATATCTGTTTCTAGGAAATCCAGTTTACCACTATGCTCAAATTCTGCAATTATTAGATTTAGTTATATCTAGAGGGGAAGCACTGTTTTCAATATTCAATGGTAATAACTACATTGATCCAAGCATGGCTGGCTATTACAGACTACAGCCAGTAGGGGAAATGAGACGAAATTATCTTCCTCTGCTTCCCCATAAATTAGCAAAATTTCATGTATGGGATCATACATCATGAATGGGATCATGATCATCCCATCATGTATGGGATTCTTATTGTGGAAGAACCTGTTTTTTGATAGGTAGCATCAACTTGCATGATTATACTGCATAAAGAAAAAGGAAAAAAAATAGGTCCTTTCCCAGTAATGCACTTTTAGTTCAGCAAAAGTCCTGGTTCAGTAGCATCTTCTTTCCATGCTGGACATGTCGCAGGTTTCCAATTTCTGGTTTCTCTTTCATTCTCATTTTCCATGCTTATTTTGGCCCTATGTAAAGCTGTTAATTCTGTAACCCATTGCTGGCATGCTTTGTTTTTGTTTTGTTTTATTAAATGATGTTAAATTTCGGTATCTAAATACTTTTCTTTTTGCCAGGAGCCTGTATTGGCACATGGGTGTCACCTTACACTTGTTTCAGGGCAAAATGTTTGATTTTTAGCCAAAATATCAAATAACCAGCTTGGCTTTTTCACTGGTTTCCTTTTTCTGATGTGTGTGGAAGAACATCTAGAGGGCAGTACATACATGGTATCCTCCCCCATGTTGAGATTCAGAGGTGGGGGTGGGGGATAGGGCTGGTGCTGCTCAGGGATCTGCTCAAGTGTACTGATACAAATGTGGCTTGGATCCTAGAAAAGATGCTGTACAGCAGAGGCATATTGAGCTCATGGAGTGTCCAGGGGTGAGGGTATGCTGACCCACTGTAGATTGTGGGCAGAGGGGATAGGGGAGGCAGAGGCAAGGGGACCTGCGTTCTGGTGGGGGTAGCAGCCCGATGACCAGGCTCCCCGGGAGATTATCCTGGTAACTGTCCCTGTCCTCCCCACTCCTCTACCTTCAATACAAGGCTTCTTAGGCAGGAGGTGCAAGGCTCTCTGCAGAGAGAGCTACAGATCATTTTTACTGAATAGGTCACAGTAGGTTGGCAGATGAAGGGCAAGTTGCTCAATTTATTTTGCAGCAGCTTTTTACTTCAACAGCCACTGCTGCTCTGCTCAGCTGGAGCTCTGTAACCATCAGCTGGAATACCACAGTAATTGTGTGCAGAGTTTGTGGGTACACATACTCTTGTTTGGGTCACAAAACTTCATCTTTGCAGGGGATAAGGAGCCTAACCCTGCACAGTATCTAGGCTCTACTGTTGTGTTCAAGGGATGACAAATACATAATTCAAGAAAATGAACCCTGAGATGGGTAAAATAAGTCTGCTTTGTTGTGCGAGTAGCAGTTTAATTAAATTTATTCAGGATTTAGGCTAAACCCAATGCTCCCAAAAACAATATAAAAGGCATAAAACCATAATATAAATTTAAGCAAAAATAACAGAAATACAAATATAACAATAAAATAGAGCTAACCATTATAAAACCATTCTTTTTACTCCTAAAATTAGCATAATCAAATACAAATATGCTGATAAATGAGATCAAAGACCTATAAAAATATTGTGCATAGGTCCACAATCGACATAGTAACAAACAAATATAGTGATAAAGTTTATCAGTCATGTCAGCAGTAAAGGATGTTTAGCTCTGATCGCTTCAGCCGTATAAGCAGAGGTTGCAAGATGGTTTACTAAATATGGATCTGTTTGCTGGAGGAACCATATTAATTTCTCTCTATTTGAGAAGTATGTCGGTTTCTGCAAGAACAGTGATAAATGCTTTCTCCTTATGTTGTTGTATAGAGAGCATTCTAAGACGTGGATAGTATCTTCCAAAACTCCTAGACAGGCTGGGCAACGTCTTTTAGTCCTTGGACTGGAGAGTCTATGTCCAGCCAAAACAGCAGTGGGCATCTGTTCAGTCCTGAGTCTAGTCAAAGAGGTTTGCAATTATTTGTTGAGATCCAGCTATAAACACCTTTCTCCCCACAATCTAATTTCCAAAGAATATATAGAGGGGCCACTGCTCATTCTGCCTGGCGATATCTCAGAACCTCTGGAATACCTGTATCTTTTTGTGGGGGGGAGGAAGAGTCTTTCGTTGTCCTTGACATAATGTTCCATCCCAGAAAGTGCAAAAGTATAGGAAAGAACAGCTAGCCAGGGAGATTGAAGAAGGGGAATTATTGATGTCTTCTGTAGCGCAATTTGAGCAAGCAAGACGGTAGAAGAGGCAGGATTTTGAACCCGAATCCTGCCATTCTAATGATAATATTAGTTAAAACGGAATCTAATCCCATCTCGAATATCAAGAAGGATGTGGGAGTTGAGGGAGGAAGAGCCCTGAGAGAGCTATTCTGAGGTATGTCCACATCATTGCTGGTGTCATAGCCCTATACTTCAGCACCATGCAAGATCTGAGACACAACTTTAGCTTTATATGCTAATATGGGAGCTTGGACTGATCGTCCTGCTGTGATCTCATAACATTTCTTTATAGCCACCGCTGATTGAGCTGCCTTAGTTTTCATCAGTTGAATGTGGTGTTTCCATGATGGAAAAGTTGTAAACATCACACCCAAGTACCTAATAAGTTTTAACAACTTCAAGTTTGATTCCCTCCGTGTTCCGTGGATATTTCATCAAACAGCTTCCTCAAGACATTATTTTGGATTTATCATAATTTGTTTTTAGGTTATTTTGTCCACAATGATGCTCCAAAGTTGTAATTGCTCTCTGTAATCCAGTGGGCATTCTTGACAGTATGACAGTGTTATCTGCATACATTAAGATAGGAATTGGGGTTGCTAGTAATTTTGGGGAATGAAAATGAGCGTCCTGCAAATTTCCAACGATGTCATTCATATAAAGGTTAAATAGCAAAGAGGCCAAAATACATCCTTGTCAAACCCCTTTTTGTGTCTGAAATTTTGTGCGAGTTTGCCCCTCGGGCCCCACTTAATTTGTGCCTGTGTGTCCTTACAATGATCTATCAGTAGATGCAAAAGAGGAGGGTCAATTCCATAATTTAACAATTTCTCCCAAAGTTTACTTCTATCTATACTGTCAAAAGCTCTTGACAGGTCAGCAACTGTGACATACATAAATGCACAAATCAGCATCGTTTGTGTAGCAGTTTGCATAACTCTGAATTTGAATTATGCAAATGTATCAACTTGTTTTGATGAACAGTGTTTGGAGAATCTGTATGATATGCACTGTATAAATGCTGTGAACAAAAAACTGCCTGGAGTCTAGAATGATTGCAGGCATGCATGTAAACCAAACATACTAACACCCTTGAGGTCATAAACTTTAAGGACTAGCAGAACAATACAGTCATCCTATCTCTCTAAATGTGATTCTTTTAGCTTATTAGTTGATTAAGGATATCTGTTAATCTTGGGGGGGTGGAAGGGTACATGTTCCTGCATCTTCCTTATTGTGATTCTAAAGTCGTAGACATCTCTTAATTTTTGGAGTCCAGTCTTACCAAAAAGGTGTGAAAGAAGGGAAAAGCATTGTCTGTAGTAACTGAAGTTCTGATGTTACATATTTTGTAGGGATTGTGAATGAGTTCATGCTACTGCCTTAAACTTAGTCGGGCTGTCATTTTAATAGTGGAGGATACCACTGCCAACTCAAATAAATAATCTTTTTATGAAGAATCTTTAATTCATCAGTATTAAATTTAGTATACTGTATTTTGTGGCAGCAGAGTTTCTTTTTTTTAAAGAGTAAGTCTTAAGGTAATAGTTAATTTAGAATTTGTTGCTACTATTGTAGAGCAGTTTTCTTCTGCTTTGCTTTCATTTTCTTAGTAGTTTAAATATTTGATTCCACAGTTTCCATTCCAGCTATTATTTGTGCTTACCAGAGAACGAGTCCTTGGGTGCAGCCACTCTGATATTAGGTGCTATAACCTTTTATCCCTACTGACTTACTTTTTAGTATTCCATGTATTACATTTGTAGCCAACTGTACATAACTTCAAAAATAATTATTAAAACTATTGGACATAATATCAGGACATAATGTCATAGTTGCCTCAAGCATATTTCAGTAGCATGTGACTTTTTAACCATATATTATTCACATTTTTAAAAACATGAGGAAAGAAACTTAGCATGCAGACAAACAAGATGTGCTGAATAGTATACCCTTGCAAATCTGGATGATCTGGATTAAAACAAATCTAAATTTTAATAATTTTAGTGTTTATAAGTTAAAAAATCCTCTTTTTTTGTTTTCCAGAAACTTTTTCACTAAAAGGATGAAGGAACTCAAACCTGCTGTTCAAAGTGCTCCTGGCTGGAAGTTATTTGGAAAAGTTCCTCCCAGAGAGAATCTTCAGAAAGATTCCAAAATAATTCAACAGGTGAGGGAGTATGTTGCATAGTTTTAGGTATGAAACTTCATTAAAGTTGATTTGTTTGAAAATTGAATGCATTTCTAGTTTATATATATAGTATTTCCTTAATGGATGGGTGTCCTCTGTACTTACCACTGACAGTCCATTTGGCAGTCAGAGGAGAGCAGTTAGGAATCTTCTCAAATTTAAAGAGAAAATTATTGGAAAAACTGCGGAAAAAGGTAATGTGGTTAGCTGAGTGTGGCCGTTTTCATTTTTTTTTAGTTCCACAAGCCTGAAATTTACCTACTATCTGCCACACATCTGAGATTGTGTGAAAGTGTTGCACAGGGTTGGACAGGGAGGTGTGAAAACATGTATGTTCAATTGTCTGTGCAAAGCAAATTTAGGAAATGATCTGTCAGTGAAACAGGATGATTGATATTATGTCTCATCTCTACTAAATTGATGTTATCTTTGTAGAAACAAGTTTCATTCAAGCACATTTTACTAAACGGACAATTCTGCATATAACACATTCAAATATCAAATTATGTTGTTATACCTGTAAATAACTGACATCTTACATTTTCATAATTAAAAGTGATAACCCATCATTAAAAGCAGTAACGGATCCTTGATTTGGTGTAGCTAGATCACTGACTGTCGAATTGAGTTTGGCATGTTCATTGTCATTTTTAGTAGTACGGTTGTATGTTGGGATATTACTAATTTTATTTTGTGCTAGTCATTTTAATGTAAATTTACTTTTTAGATTCTCTTGTAGAAAGTTTATTATCAAACATATTATTTTTAGTTAAATTATATCATACTTGTGCATATGAGTAATCCCATTCAGGATTTCTGTACATTAGAAATAATTCTGTAATTATTTCTGTGTAGTATTTCACATATTTGACAAGGTTACTACAGATTCCCCATTTAATCCAGTCATTCAGTAAAATGGCTAAGAGCTTTAAAAGAAATGTTTGCTACAAGCAGGTCTTTTGTTTAATTTTTTTAGCAGGTAACTTGGTTAAATCTGGTAGAAATAACTGTTTCGCTACATTTCAATTTTAAATTCAGGAGTTTGTTACCTGAAGGCAGTTGGGTTCTAAAAAAAAAAAGATAGCTAAAAATAAAATCATTTAAAGAAGACTGAACAGTTTGTCATTACTTTGATACTGGATCTTGTCTTCATGTTCATCTCAGTACATTGTTTTTTTAGCACGATTAAATGTTGCTATACTACTAAGTGAGAACAGTGCTACTTACAATTATGCAATATTACCAGTTATTTAAAAATAACCTTTTATATTCTGATCCTGACTGTGCCTGCAGCTGAAAAGCTGCCATACAAATCCTGTTTCTGCTGGTGGGGGCAGTAACCTGAGTCCCTGGGAGCAGAGTCTTTCCTCTATCTGGCTTCTGCACCATACTCTTCCACTGACAGATGCATCTGGTAGAGTAAAGCAGAAGCTGTTTTCAGTCTGAATCTTTTGACAAGAGAGGCATTTCAGGATTAGTTAAGTAAAAAATTGGAAGTTTGGAGCTTGAAGGGTTTCTGGTAGAGCAGGAAATAACAGTCCTAAAGCATTTTTTGCTGTCGATCCAATTGAGCAAGAAAGTGTTATTAAAAACAAACAACCCCTATACAAACAATCCTCTAGTTGTGATCCCCCCCCCCGACCTTTGCTAAAAAGCTGAAGTACCTAGTTATTTATCAGTTTCCAAGTGAATTCTATGTAAGCACAAGTGATAAACCAAAATGTGACTTCATTCTCTCTTAGTTAAGGGGGAAAAGTTTTATATATTTTCTAAGTATTGTACATGGGGTATTATTTGAAGGCATCCATTTGGCTTCCAGGGTATTGGCTCCTTTTATTTTAATATTAATGCTGGCTTCATTTAATTATTGTAGAAAGTATTCCCTAGGTGTCAGCTGATTTAAGGCTGGTCTCCAGTAAATACTGTCTATTAAGAATCCAGATGTATCTGTTCCATCTTGGGAACAGAACTGGAGGAATACATATGTTACTCCATGGTTTACAATGATCAGTTCCCCTTTCCTAACAGTGAAAGAACTTATTCTTGAGACAGATAATAAACTGTGAGCGTCTATCTATATATGTGCTCCAGGTTAGAGGGGGGAGTACTTTTAATTAGAGTGGCTCTGAGAGCTGCTCTAATTAAACTGCCTGCAGCATCACATGTATTCAGTGTCCCACACTTCAAAATGGCAGCGGGAGAACTTTAACTAAAGCTCGTTTGACAAGCTTTAGTTAAAGCGCCTCCACTGCATTTTGAAACATGGGGACACTGAATACATGTGACACGAAGGCTGCTGGAGCATGCTAATTAGCACGCTTCAGCTGACTTGATCAAGTCTGCTCCAATGTGTGCTAATTAGCACATGTCAGAGCAGTGCTCTGTCATGTGTATAGGTGTCCCATGAGACTGGCAATTTTATTTCCTTCTCCTCCCCCCACTCAGACTAGGTACAGACATTCAAAAAGCCTGAGGCAGAATCAGTTTTAAGTTAGCAGTTTTCTGTAGGTGGTGTAGTTTAGATCAGTATCAAACAGAACACACATCCCCCCCCTTGTGTGTGGAGCTGGTAAATCTTGGACCAGGTTCCATCATTTTTCAGCCAGTCTGTGCGCCAAACTTGTGTTCTGTTACACTGGGTATATACCAGATTTTGATCGTTTATACCAGTAAAAGTGTAATGTCTGTACCTGGCCTTGGTGAATATCTGCTTTAGTTTCTGTTACTTATAGTCAGTATCTGTCTCAATTTAATTTTTTCATATATTGATTGTGTCCCTGTTCTGTTATTGGAGGCAGAATATATATAGTTAAAACAAGAATTAATTTGGTGTGTTATACAGGTCATATGACTTGATCACAGTGGTCCCTTCTGGCTTTATAATAATCTGAGTAATAAATAGATAATAGCACCTTAACTAAAAATATTAGCTATCTTCCATGAGTTGCCTTTGATATATTTAATGAGAGCTTATTATTCATCGGAGTGCACTGTCAGTGTCATTCAGGGTTTTATAACATAAGAGATTTTGGAAATTAGAATCTAAATCTAACTTGAGATTCCAAAATCTTAGATGTTTTCTAGATGACTGTTTTTGGAATCCATGTGGGCATTGGCCAGACATATACACAACTTTTATGAAAATGATTGGGATGCAGGACATGGGTGCCAACTGTTATTTTTTTACCAGGGGGGAGGAGGCGGTCTAAGATGCTGGACATGTGGGAAGTTTTATACTTTTCAGGTGACATCCTTCTCAAGGTCCCTATGTACTCAGCACCCTCAGGCCCCTACATACTTGGCACCTCTAATGCAAGGGTACAGAGCTTTCTCTTCAAGTATGTTGATGACATAAATCTTGGGGGGGAGAACAGAATTATGGTTCAAAAGGTCCTTGCTAGCTGGGCACTAGACAACAGTATGAAATTCAGGAAAGACAAATATAAGTTGTTATAACTAAAGAAGAAAAATAAATGCACCAATAGAGAATGGGGGATAAGTGCTCCTGCCTAGTTGATGTTGGAGAAGATATATGGAGGTTTTGGGGGAATAAAAGATCAAACATGAGCCAGCAATATGAAACAGTTATAAAAAAAAAAATAAAAAAATGCAATTTTGGGCTGCGTTTAACAGGAGCAAGCTGAATGATATTATCTCTCTGCTCAGCATTGCCTAATGCCTCAGCTGGAGTACTGTGTGCAATTCTGGGCTAAGCAGCCTAAAAGGATGTGGAGAAACTGGATAGGATCCAGAGGAAATTGACAAAGATATATTCATATTTGGCTGTACTGTACCTAAAGATTTTACAATGTCTAGATTTTTTTCCTGTTTATATTTGATTGTTCAAATGCATGCTTTGTGCAGAACTACTTTTTTAAAAATCATCTCAGGGTATATAACTTGCTCTACTTTTTCCGTGTGTGCTTGGAACTGTAAATAGGGGCAATGGACCTCTGGGCCTTATCCCTGTGTTCATTTGCTACCACTTCATTTAAAAGGCTAATGATAAATCATTTGAATAATCAGTTCCAAAATGACGCATTCAAAATCAATTTTCCAGTATTTGTTGCCTCCTTCTGTATTGGAAAGAAACACTGTTTCGCTTTTTGCTATTTTTCCTGGTGATACCTTCTGTTGAACCAATTGTATTACAAGCTTTTTGGGCAAAAGTGCCCTTCATGAGGTCATTTTGTGCTCAAAGGCCTGTCTAACATTTCTCCAACTATGCAGTTAGGTTAATAAAAGGTGTCACCAAAAAAAAACAACTTGCTTCTCGCATGCTTCCTGGATCATCGCAACAGTCCAACCCTACTCCATATATTAAGTATTACTTGGATCACTAAGAAAAAAATGTATTCCTCCTGGCTCTGTACTTTCATTGAACATGTTAAAAGATTTTAACAACTTCAGATGTTTATGGATCATTTCACAAAATGTTATTTCAGCTTGATTTATACTGCAGGCTTAAAAAGAAATGGGATCTTTCACAGAATGGCAATTTTGGGGGCTGTCTTGCTTGGTTCTATTAGTTGTTCAATATCAAGTCCCCTTTTTAAATAGCTTGAATATTAAATATAATGAGTTGTTGTTTTGAACATGTTCTTGCAGCTGCTTTGTAAAATAAGAAGGTCTTCCCATTGGTACATAGACAGAAATTGAGCCAAGTTAATTTCGTTGGTGGCAGTCAGGAATTCAGTTAAATTATAGTCAACTGGTCTGAGCAGTAGATACTTGAAAATATATATATTTTGTTTAATTCAGTCTGGAAGCTTTGCAGAGCACAGTATTGTGGCACTGGGCTGTACTAGTAGGTCTTCTCTTCAGAGAACTGGGAGTAGGGGAAAAAGAAATGTTCCTGTGCATGTTTGGAAACTTACAAAGAAATAACTTACAGGGTAAGAGTGTATGATTTGATGACTTGGTTACACTTGTTGTGCAGCAACTTGCAGATGACTGCCATCCTTTCAGATATATTGAAA